GGGCGACAGAGCCAGACTCTGTCTCAAAAAAAATAAATAAATAAACAAAAATAAAAAGGGGATTTTATTTGAGAAGCACATAAAGACACAACAAAACACTTCATAGGTCGGTCTACACGGTAAAGAAGCAGCAACGACACGCATGATTTTGCAAACGCAGTCGCTCAGGGGTGCTGACGACAGTCTCGTGGTCGTAACAGGTATGAGCAGACAAAGTGTGTTCATGAAAAATAAGTCAAAGGGAAATGACGCAACACGTATCACGGTGGCTGGTGCTCGTGAGCACCCCGCTCTGTAACTGCGGGCGTCGCGATGCCGCCACCAACGACCTGGGCCTTTCCTCGAGACCCCTCGGAGACCGCGGAGGGTCACCCCCACGCGCGCCGTTGCCCGGGGAGCCCCGATCTTGAGAAATGTCGTCTTTCGCCGGCACAGATGTGCAAAAAGAGCATCTCTTCGTTTATGGAGTTTCGGCGTCAGTGCGCTTGCGTGGAAGAAAAAATTGAGGCGCAAACGAATCGGGACTCTCTAGAGGTTTGTACACCGTTTATGCCTCTGGGAGGCTGTGACAATGATGAAGTACACGGCGTAGCGGGTGTCCAGATGTCCCTTAATCCGGTCTGCTGGCCTCGGACCCACGGCTCAAACCATCCTTGATTTCCAAAGGAAGATGGAAGGTGTCAGCAAGGTGACATTCCTGCCTCACGCGATGCCACTAGCCTGCGATTTTATCTGTGTCATTTGATTTTTTGAGACGGGGTCTCACTGTGTTGCCCAGCCTGGTCTTGAACGCCCGGGCTCAGGGTGTCCTGTGGGCTGGCGCCACAGCGCCTGGCTGTATGTTCCGGACTTTGGATGTTAAGGATTTTGGATTTGGGGGTTGTGGCGTCCGGGCAGCATCTCTCACGAGCTGGGACTCACCCGCGGGCGGCTGTCGGTTCTCGGGGAGGCGTTGTGGTTGAAGCTCCGCTCTCCGGGGCGGGGGAGCGTCGGCCGGGCCCCGAGCTCTGCTTCTGTCCCCGCAGGAGTTTCTCAAGGAAGGGACGCTGATGAAAGTGACAGGAGGGAACAGACGCCCCCGGCACCTGTTTCTGGTGAGTGGGGGGGACGGAGGCGCGGCTCTGGGTCAGACGGTCCCTGAGCGCCGGGACCGCGCGGGGCCCTGCAGGCTCTGTTGGGGGAGAGGAGGGGCCGCTGCCGGTCCTTGCCGTTCCGGGCCTGAGATGCGTCATCCTGTCCCGGGGGCGTCGGCCGTGCGCGCAGACAGCAGATTTTCTCAGCGTCCATAATCCCGGGTTTCCCGGCGGGGAAGCTGAGGACAGGGCCCGTCTGCGGTCACGGGGCCGGCACGTAACGGGGTCAGGACTCACCGCCCTGACTCTGTCGTCTTTTCACGCTGGAAACCTCTGCGCTAAACACAGACATTCCCAAGGAGGCAAAGCGACTTTCGCTGCGTGTCCGTCTGGCCTGTGCGGCGGGAGAGCCGCAGGTGTCCTCTGACGGGCGTTAACTGAGCACCTACTGCGTGCAGCGCGCCGGAGGCGTCGCCAGGTCCCCCTCGGGCTTCCTCCTCCCGCCACTGTGCTTTGCTGAGGTTGAGTCTGCGCAGACGAAAACGCGTCGGCCTTAATCGACGCACGTGTCCGTCTGCGTGGACGGCACGTCCCCGCGTCCCCGTCACCTGGGTCGAGACGTAGAACGTCCCCTGCACCCTTCGCAGCCAGTCGCCCTCCCGCCGCCCGGGGACGGCCTGGTCGCTGTCCCTGGGGACCATCGTGCCCGTCTGGGAATTGGACGTGGACGTGGTCAGACGGCGTGTGCTGTCCCGTGTCACCCGCGTGGCTGGAGATTCGTCCCTGTCGCCTGCGCTGGCGGCTCCTGTCCCCGGGGACAGACGTCCAGGCTGTTCCCGCTTCCCGGGTGTCGGGAGCGGCTGCCCCGCGAGTCGCGGTGCCGACGTCCCCAGGGCAGGGCGTGGGCATCGGTCCTCGGCCCGTGGGGAAGGGCCGCGTGTCAGCACAGAGCGCTCCGCTCCCCCGTGGGGGTCACCGGCAGATGGCGGGGCCCGTGGCCCCCGGAGCGTGGGGACCCTCCGCGCCCAGCAGCCCTCTGGGCCAGGACGAGCGTGACGGGCCGTCCCTGTCCCCAGATGAGCGACGTGCTCCTGTACACGTACCCACAGAAGGACGGCAAGTACCGGCTCAAGAGCTCGTTGCCCGTGGCCAGCATGAAGGTACTTCAGGGGGTCGGGGACACGGAGACCCCGGGTGGGGGGGACACAAGGAGCAGCTGGCGGCGGGGACCCTGCGGCAGCGGTTGCTGAACTGAGCTGCAGGTGGGCCCGGGAGAGGGGGGCAGACGGAGGGCTTCCTGGAGGAGGGGACCTGAGCCCTCGGAGCGGGTGCTATTTGGTCAGAAGGGCGGGCAGAGAGAGGAACACGGAGTGGGAACCACAGAGCGGTTTGGTGGCGTCACTGCCAAGGGCAGAGGTCACGGCCGGGACAGCCGTAAGCGGCGTCGCTGGTGGTCCCGCGGACTCCCGGGGGAAGCGCCTTTCCCGGCGGGAGGTTTGTTCCCCTTTTGAGCCAAAGGGCTGTTGGAGGCCGCCACGGGAGACCGTGTCACCGGGCCTGTGCACGGAGGTGCAGCTGCGGTCCCCGAGCGCGGCCTTCCTTCGGGACGGCGAGCGCCCTCCGCAGACGGGGAAACCGAGGCAGAGAGCGCCGCCGCGGGTCTGTGCCGGGCCCGGCCTGAGGGGTGTCGCTTTCCCAGGTGAGCCGCCCCGCGCTGGAGACGGTGCCCTTCGCCCTGAGGATCGAGACGCCCGAGTCCTGCCTGACGCTGTCCGCCAGGTACCGGGGGTTGGGGGGGGTTGCGGGGGCGGGGGGCGAGGGTGGGACGTGTTCGCGGTGGCCGGTGCCGGCCGCCTCGTTTTTACGCGAGTACCTTTCGGGTTGAAGGGCTTCCTTCCCGTTCAGTGTTTCGTAACCGTTTTGGGGGTCGCCGCCCCCCTCGGGAATCTGCTGGAAACGGTGACTTCTCGCCCCAGAAAAACGCGCGTACTCGTGTGAAATGTTGCATACGACGCAGGCGCTTCTGAAGCGCACTGCTGAGATGCGGCGGCTGCGGTATCTCGTGCGTGCGGAGCTCTCCGTGCACCAAGGGGGTCTCTTTAGCGACGCAGGCGGTGACGGCAGGTGGAAACGCGGCCCGTACGCGGCTGCCGTGCGCTCTCGCGTCTGAAGGGCGGCAGAGAAGACAACGACTGCGCGCCACCATTCGCCTTTCCTTGTTCGGGGGCATCTCGGCCCATTCGTGCTGCCACAGCAAAGACAGCGTAAAGCGGTGCCTTGCAAACGACGCAAGCCTCTTGCAGTCTGGAGGGGGGGACATCCGAGACCCAGGTGCCAGGAGATGCAGCGTCCCGGTTCATAGTGGCCCCTTCTCGCTGGGACCGCGCGTGGTGGAGGGGGAGGGGGCCTCTCCGGGGCCTCTTTTGTAAGGGAACTAATCCCACGGGGGAAGGCCCGGCCTCGTGACCTGATCCCATCCCAAAGGCCCCACCACCTAATAGCATTGCCTTGGGAATGACATTTTTTTTTTCTTTTTTTGAGACAGAGTCTCGCTCTGTTGCCCGGGCTAGAGTGAGTGCCGTGGCGTCAGCCTCGCTCACAGCAACCTCAGACTCCTGGGCTCCAGCGATCCTCCCACCTCAGCCTCCCGAGTAGCTGGGACTACAGGCCCACAATAGCGAGCCCGGCTGATTTTTTGTGTTTTATTTAGAGATGGGATCTTGCTGTGCTGCCCAGGCTGGTCTCAAACTCCTGGCCTCAAGCGATC